ATAAGAGACAGCGCCATGGGAGATGTGGTCTCCACGCACCTGGACGAGGGTCGCCGCCAGCACATCGCGGGTGAGCTCCCACCGCGCATCCCCCTCTCCCCTTAGCCCGGCCGGGCTCTCCCCATACTTCTTTTCAATCCGGGTGGGGACACCCGCCCCTCCACTCCGCGTGTTCCCGGGAGCCCCCCCCGCTCCTGCTCTCTCTCCTTTCTCCCGGACTTTAAACTTTTTTTTTCTTTCCACCACGTCGCAGTTTCCCTGTGGTTTTGCCTGTCCCCTTGGCTGGGCACAACACGGGGGGGCGGGGGGAGGGGGGCACCCGAGGTGCCTGTCTGCCTCCCAGATGAAAGGCTGAGTTGTGCCGGGGGTGTTTATGTTGGCTCCGGGGACCGGGAAGCGTGTTCTTGTGCTGAGCTTCCCCGGGCTGTGGGGAGGGAAGGGGGGGAGCGGGGCTCCAAAGAGATGCTGGCAAGCCGGGTCCTGCGCAGGGAAACCACTGTCAGCGTGGGGTTTGCTGGGGCTGAGCCGGCAAATAAACTTTTCCCCCCTTAGCAGTGCTGGGGGATCCCTCGGAAAGCCCCCCGCAAGGTCTCTGGGGTGGGGAGAAGGACTGGCTGCATCCCTGGGGTACCCCCTGGGATGCCCCAGGCCTGCCCCAGCACGGGCAGGACACAGCAGTGTCCCCGCCAGCACTGTGGGAAGGGGAAGGGTGACAATGTGGTTATTGAGAGCCCGGCTGTCCCGGGGTGTCTGCCCGGCAGTGCCTCTGCCCCCGGCGCAGGATGTCTGCTCCGTGCCGCCTGGGAATCGCTGACCGTGGGATTACGGCTTCTGTACAGGCAGGGTTTTGTGCGAAGCGATGGCTGGGAGGGTGGCGGCGGGGGGGCAGGGCTGCTAATTGGTGCCTGTAGTGACTTGCTTGACCCCCGTAAGTGGGGTCACCCCTCCGTCGGGGTGCTGTGCCCCCTCGCCCCCCCGAACTGCCTTGCGTCACTTGTGATGCTGGTGCTTCTCTCCCTGGGGCTCCTGAGCCGGCAGGACTTGACCTCCAAGCCCTTTCATGCTCTGGCTTCGGTTTCAGCTCCCCAGGCTGAAAAACCCTCCTCTCCGCCGGGTTAAGCAACCCCCCCCGTGAAGCCGCACCTAGTCGGGTGGTACGGAGCAGCGTGGCCTCGTGCTGGACCTTGTGCGCCTTGCGGAGAGCTCAAGGGCTCGGGGAGCACTGGGGTTTTGGAGTTGGCTCTGCTGTACCTTTCCTCCGTCTCCGCCATAAAGCCATGGGAGCGGCTCTGAAGTCCTTTTTCCCCGAGGGCTTTGGGGAAGAAGCTGCTGTGGGTCTGGCATTGATGGAGCGGCGCGGTACGGCCGCCGCGGTACCGGCACACGGGCTCTACGGCTGATGGCATCCAGTGGAGTCCCTCCGCCTCGCCAGGCCCTGCCGTCCTGGGCCGGCTGGCAGGAATGCTTACGTGGTATGCGGCTCAGCAGGACACCAGCAGGTTTGCAAGCTTTGAAGGAGAGATTGTAACCCGCTGTGGGGTTTTCGCGTTGCATAGTTAAAGACGGGGCTGATCCATGAGGCTGCGCCGGCTCGGGTCTGTGCACAACACGGTGTCGAGTCTTGTTCTCCGCAGCATGTTTGGGTCCAAGCACATCCTCCATCTCCCTTTAACTTGCTGATTCTCTGGGCAGAGACTTCTCCCCGTCCAAGCCCTGTGGTCTTAATCCTGAAGAGCCTGGAAAGAATAACAAGGAAAAGCCCAGCTGAGTTTCCTGTGCGGGAACCTGTCTCTGCTGGGTCAGAAATTAGGTATTTGCAAGGCCAGGCTGGATGGTTGCACCCTGGTGGGGACTGATCCATTAAACCGGGAGGTTTCAGCCTATGTTCAGTGAGCTGGGGACAGCAGATGAGTTTTCATGGGGAAAACAGGATTCCTGTGAAATAGGATTATGGAGGCTAGGCTGGTGCCTGTCCTGTGCCATGCTGCCGTGCTGAAGGTTCGGGGTGAGCAGGAGGGACTCACACCTGTACTGGGACACCTTCCTGGGAGAGACTGGAGCCCACTGGGTTCACTGAGCACCTCTCTGCTTTCCACCCAGGCTCCTCGCTCGGTGAACAGCCCCCAGAGCTGGGAGGGGCTGTAACCCAACAGGCAAGGCACGACTTGCTGTCAGGCATGCAAAGCAACGCGGTGGGGAAAACTCTGGGTTTTCCTGCCTAGCTCGGTCTGTTCTCTGCTGCCGCTGCTCCTGTCGGCACCCAGGGAGGGATCCAGCGCCTCTTTCCCAGCAACTTTTCCCAGTTGTCCTCCCAACTTGGGGGAGTTTGGAGGAGCTGCCCAGACTGATGTGGCCCCTAATTGCAGCAGGGACAGGAATGCTCTGGGCTTGGCAATGCTCCTCGTGGCTGCAGCCCCCTTACACCAGCAGAACTGTGCTGGCTGGGCATGAAGCAAGCCCTGGGGCTCTGGGGAGATGGTGAGAGCTTGGGCCAGATCCTTCCCCCCTGCTGGGAGCAGAGCTCTGAGCACTGCAGGTGGGTTAAAGGCAGGAGGGAGATGATGAAAAGCCTTCCTGTGCCATGCACGGCGTGGTCCCCTCTGCATAGGGACGTCAAAGCCGTGCTGCAAAGGTCCCATGCCCTGTCCCAGCCCACGCGGCGGTGGCTGCAGTGGGGCTGATGCCAACGTCTCCCAGCGGTCATGAGCCACATGCGCGTGACTTGTGTGTTGGTGGCTCAGGACCAGGGTCTTTTCTCCCACTGGTGGTGCTGGTGGGGCTGCACCGCTCTCCTGCTGCCTGCGCAGGCAGGCAGGCAGCATCCCTGCCAGCAGCGGGGCTGCCCTGCTTCACTGGGGCTGACAGGGCAGCCTGGGGGGTGTGATTTACACCAGGGTTTTCAGTCAGTGCTGCCTGCAGCTCCTGCCTCCCTTTCTCTGGGGTCTCTACAACCACACGTGGGCCTGGAGAGCTGTGGTGATGGGGCAGCTGGTAAGCGCTTCTTTCTGCTGCCCTGCTTTGGACACGATCCTGACTGGGGTCACCCAGTTTGTCCAAACCTTTCGGCTGCCCTCCTCCTCCTCTTCCTCCCAAATGTGGGTCGAGAGTTGCTCCTGACCTGCTCTGGGGTCTGGAGCAGTGACTGGCTCCCCTCCTTGCACAAGGGTGCCCAGCACGGACACCATCGCCTGGGGACACAAGAGTAGCAGGCATGAGGTGTCCGGCCAGGGCTGCCCTCAAAGCCAAGATGTCACTGGGTGCCTTGGATTTTTGCAGTGTCCCTTCCTGCCCAAGGCAATAGGTGCCCTCAGCAAGGGGTTGGATGAAGCTCTTCCCTCATGCTGGAATAACTCCTTCCCCGTGCATCCCAGTCCCATGGACTGCTTCTCCAGGGGGGTGAGGTGGAGCGTGGCTGACACTGGGTGGAGCTGGGTAGCTCTGTCCCGTGGGGCTGGTGGTCCCAGGCACCCAGTGAGTGGGAGAGCCCAGGGACACGGCAGGAGCTGCCTGGTGACTCCATGCCCAGAGGGATGGGGAGGTGGGTGGCAGCGAAGGGAGGGTCCCTGGGAGCTCACACCTTGTTCTGGTATCTCCAGGGAGTCACCAGCCCCTTAATTGCTGAATAAACCAGCTGTTAATTTGGGGTGGGACTTCCTACAGACACCAGCCCACACAACGGTGGCAGAGGTGACACTGAGCCTCACCTCTGGTGCTGGACCCACAGCCTTTCCTCTCCAACGGGCTTTGGTGGCTGCTTATCCCCAATGCTGCCGAGGAGCATCCTTCTGCTGGGAGGCTGGGTGCCGATGGACAGGCTGTGGAACCAGGTCCAGAGGTGCCTGGCAAATGCCGAAAGGCTCCTGGCTGCAGTGTGCCACAGGAGGGGAGGTTGCCGACAGCGAGAAGAGGTTTGCTGTGGCTTCCTTAAGCACGACACTCATTTCCTAGCCCTGGCCATGGATCAGCTCCAGACAATATGGGAGGTGGTGGCTGCTGGTGATGGGCTCTGGGGTTGGTCTTGAGGGTGAAATCCTCACCCTGCCCTGGGGGGAGTGGTGAGGGAGGCTCTGAGGGATCGGCGCTGCAATATGCTGGAGATGCGAAGTGGTTTCTTGTAACGAAATGTGTGTCTTCTTTCATCGTGAAATAAATAACTCCCCTGGCATGTCAGGGCTCCCTGCCAGCGGGGAAGGGCTGGTTCTGGCAAGCTGGGGCTTACCTGCAGCCGTCGTGTCGGGGCATGGGGCTCGCTCAGAGCCAGCGTGTCAGGGCAGGGGACATCGCCGTCTGCGGGGCCTCTTGTGCCGATGGCCTTCCCACGTGAGCTGGAGGTGGGAGCCCTTCCAGCCCTGCCTGCGCTCAGCCTCAGGGCAGAGCCTGCTTTTCCTCCTGGGGGGGGCTTTCCCTGCTTCCCCCAGCAAGGGTTTAGCCAAAGGCCTTGCCTTGAGCAAGCTGGGGGGCATGCATAGAGGGCATCCCTGCTCTGCCTGGGAGCAGGAGGGCTGGGGACAGGAGGAGCAGAGCCAGCATCGCTGTTGAGAGCTCTCCTTAGGCCTTGGGTCAGCCCAGGGAGAGAAAAGTACCCCATAGACCAGAACCCTCCCCCACTGCAGTATCAGACACCCCCAGACCCATTGCAGGCAGCCAGCAAGGGAAACACGGCCAACAGCTGGGATTTCCCAAGCCTTTGCTTCCCTCCTGCCCCCAAATTGCTGCAGAGGTTGGCTCTGAGCCCCGGGAAGCTCTGTGCCTCTTGGCACAGCCCTGTCAGCTCTGTCCCACCCTCCCGGGGACCGACGGGACCCTGTCACTCTGCCTAAGCCCCACAGCTGGTTGCAGCAAGCCACTGGCTCCCACCCCTGGCTCTGCCAGTCTGGCCCCACGCTGGGAACAGCAAAGGTGCCACGTGGGCATGGGGACAGTCACTGAAACAGCCACCGAGAGAGCCCAGGGTTGGGTGTGCAGACAGCCCAGGTCTATGGGGATGCAATGGGTGGTGGGTCCCATGGACAGACCCCGCAGGCGGCCTCATGGGCAGGAACCTGGTCCCAACCCATGGAGAAGGAGCAGCGTCGGACCCACCCATCCCATTTCCATCCCTCTTACGGCATCCTGTGACCAGGCTTTATTTCACAACCCAGCCGGCAGCTGCCCTGCCCCTGCTCCCAATGAGCGGGGAGATGGGGGGAAGCTGGAAAGCTGTCGGCTCTTGCCTCCCACACCGCCAGGACCCTGGGCTCCGTGCATCTCTGAGCTTTCGGCAGGCAGAAGGGCTGGGGAGATCCCAGGATCTGTTTGAAGGCAGGAGAGAGCAGCAGCTCTCCAGCATGAGGCTGAGCACCTGCTTTGCCCCTGCAGGACCCAGGTCTGGTCCCACCACCCAGTTTTCAGAAGGTGCCAGGCCGTGAGATCCCCAAGCAGAAGCTGTGCCCCACCAGCCCCGCGCTGGCCCCTGAGCCTTGGCCTGTGCCGGGATGTGCCGGCACCAGCTCTATGGCGAGCTGGGTCCCACAGGGGCCAGGAGGGGAGGAAGGGGCAGAGCAGAGCTGCTCCTTGCAAGCAGACTTCCTCCCAGGCTTCTGGACCAGAGGGGGAGGAAGGAGTAAAACTCCACCTTTTCCCCCTTTTCAAAGAGAAAGCGTAGCAGCATTCGGCGCAGATCCCAGCTCTGGCTGGCAGAGCACAGTGCCCTTCTCCGTGCCCTCCTGCCCTTCCCTGCCAGGGATCTGTCCCTGCCTGCAGCTGGGCTCCCAGCCCTGCTCTGGGGGGGCTCAGACTCTTCTGCCGTGGGACTCCCCAGGACGGGATGTCCCCATGCATCAGGGATGGATGGGATGCTCTGCCCTGAGCTGGCAGGGGATGGGGGCAGGACCTCCCTCCCCTCTTGCTATGTTGGTGGCTCCTGGGGCATGGGACACTTGTCCTGGCTCCTTCCCTCTGCCAGCTCTGCTCAGCCTAGGCGTGACACTCCTCGGGGGGTTCCCCTGCATGAAGGGACGTGTCCCAAAGCTAGAGTGCCCTCAGTGCTGCTGCGTAGAGCAGGAGAGCAGGGCTGCTAGCTCCCAGGCACCCACAGCAGCGGTGGCTCAGCCATGGGAAGCATCCTGAGCCCCTTCCTCTGCTCCCAGCGCATACAGGGCATCACCTGAGACCAGGACAGAGCCTTGTCTTGGGAACATCCCCACATTGGGAATATCCCTGCTGTGGGAGCGTCCCTGCCTTGCCTCTACCTAGGAGCTGCTTTGCTCTGCTGGCTGTTGCCCACTCTCCCACAGCAAGGAAGATGCTGGTGATGCTCCATGCTGCTGGGCTCTGGCTGCCAGCCCCATGGGGCAGGTGTCCACGGTGTACTGGGGACTGTGGTGATTCTGGAAAGTCCTTGGCAATGGGAGACACTGAGCCTATGGCCACCCTTGGCTGGGGCATCGCCCTCCATGGGAAGGAGGGAATGGGCATGGGGGGCATGGTGTGGGGCAGGCACTTTGGGACAGGTGGAGCCCCTCTGCCCTGCCCTGGCCTCACCGAGGAGCCGGGCACAGGAACCCCCCCAGCAGCAGGAGCTGTGGCAGAGCCCAGAACAAGCTCAGGGCTGTTTTGTTCAAATACCTCATGGTTGGGGTTTTTTTTGGATGTACATAAAAGTCTTTGTTTGGTCTCCTCCCGTGGTGCTGGATTGGGTTTCATACTGGCACCAGCCAGCTCAGTGGAGGGAGAGCATGCCAGGTTCAGCTCTTCTCCCTGGGGTTGGGCACAGGGGGGGCATGAGGGGACGGCTGCTCGTCCCCTGCCAAGCACAGATTTGCTGGGACACCCCCGAGCGAGGACCCCCTCACCCCCTGCTGTCCCCAGCACCCGGCGCGTGAGAGACCCAGAGATGCCCAAGTTTGATCTGGCCCCTTGGCCTTGGGGACCCCCCTGGTCCCACAGCTCCCAGGTGTGACCGGGCCCCACGTGGGTGCCCAAAGGCCACTGCTGCCGCCGCAGGACCCCACAGCAGCACTGCCTGTGACCCAGCGCTGACTCGGCTGCCATGGGGGTTGCGCCACGCTGGAGCAGATGCAATGTGGCCCGGCCGGTGGTGGTGGATGAACTGGGCCTTATCTGGGGACAGGTAATGCTGGGGCCCACCCTGCTGTGGGGCAGCACTTGCCATGGGGTGAGCACCAAAGGATTGGTAGGTCTTTTCCAGCCTGGCCAGGCACTTGTGGGACCTTGGGTGACAAGGGACATGTGGGGTGATGTGACTGCAGCCAGGGTGAGGGCAGTGGGTCCTGGTCCAGTGCAGGGTTTAGGGGTGGTACCCAGCTTGAGCCAAGCGGCTCCGTGGGGATGCTTAATCTCCCCACAGCCACCTCCCTGCCCATGGGACGTATCCTGACTGTCCTGTGAGCACAATCACCTCTTCTGGTGGGCTTAAACCTGGTCCCTGTGCCCATCTGGCAGGTGGCACTTTGGGCCAGGGTGGGTTTAGCCCTCCTGGGGTGCCTGTGTGGGCACCTGTGCCCCCTGGCTTTGGAGCATCACTCTGAAGGCAAGGCTGGCAGAAGGAAAGGGACGGGGCAGGAGGGTCTTCTCTGGATCAGGACGGGATCTCCTCCTGCCCCCACCCCTCAGGAGCTGTTTGGGCAGGGTGGTTCAGGGCAGACATCTCACACTGGGCTCAGTCCAGCCCCAACCAGCTTCTCTGGAGACATTCAAAAGCCCCAAACGCTGTTTATTATTCACACACACATTCCTCGCACGCAGCCCCGCAGCAGCCTTGTTCCTGGGGAGCAGCGGGAGACCGGCATCCACGCCGCGGGAAAACACCCGCCGGCACGTAGCCGGATGTTAATCCCTTGTCCGCTGGGCTGGATGCGGCCCTGAGCCACAGGAGCAGGGCTGATACAGGGGGCTGAGTCCGGCTTTGTAGTTGGGATTGGGGAGCAATGGGTGAAGGGTGTCCGAAGCACGGTCGAGAGTGCTGTCAGGGTTTTTCGGCTGTTTGTAGGCTGAGGAGCTGCTGCTGAATGTGCTGCTTCGTTTTCAGCCCCGTGGATTTCGTGGTCTGCTTTAGATCCTCCCGCGGCCGCGCTGGGCACGGCTCTGCTTCGGCAGGTTTGTTTGCTCTGGGCTGGGAGGGGAGCGGCGTTGTGCAACCGCCGCAGCTGGGCGCGGTGCTGGGAGACGGGGTGGGTGCTGCCACGGTGGGGACAGACCCCCCCGGAGCCTCTCCGGGGACATCCCGGGGGACAGGGGGTGCTGCCAGCATTTGGAATGGGGAATGCCACAGGGTGCTGGTGAAGGGTGCACCTTGCAGGCAGCGAAGCAGAGAGCCATGTCCCCGACGGGTGCCCCAGCCCTGAGCTGGCACTACGGGCGCTTCTGACTCATCCGGGGGCAGAGCTGTGCGCGGCAAAGGCAGGGCGAGAGACGACGAACCGGTTCAGGCCTGGGCCCATCTGGTTTCTTCTCTAAGGCTCTGCTGCCTCATCCCTTCCTGCTGCTCAGCCCCCATCCTGCCCACCCTTCCCCACAGAGGCGTGAGTCAGAGGGCAGGCGGCCGCTCGGCTCATCCCCAGCACTGCCGGCCATGCAGCTGCACGGGGCTGCTGCTGAGGGGGTGGCAGGATGCATCCCCTTTCCACATGGACCATGCCTCTGAGCCGATGTGTAGCTGAAAATATTCCCCGTGGATTTTGGAGCAGTGCTGGTGCCAGGCAGTGATCCCTGTCCTGCCAGGTCCCCCGGTGCTGAGCCGTGCCCTGGGCGCAGGCAGCAGTGGAGTGCACCAAGACCCAGGGCAGGCACTGGGAGCAGCCTGCACTTTCCGTTTGTTCCAGATAAGCTCAGTCTAAATTCTGATAGCAGCCTGCAACAGAGATGCCCCGGGGCTGGTTTTGAGTGGGTTTGTGTGAAGGGAGGTAAGAGAGGAAACTGTCCCTGGACTTCGCTCTTCCCTCCCAATTTATTTTTCCTTGTTTCAGTCTCTCCTGGTCTGTATGAGAGGGGAAAATATGAAGCGCTACCAGTTCAGTCCCTGGATTTTGCTTTTATGAGGAACAAACCGTCCTTCAGCTATTTTTTGTCACCATGTTCTCCTGGGTGGGGTGCTAGTGCCTGACCCCCCCCCCAGCCCGGCATCGCCCTGTGGGAGGGATGCTCTGGGGATGCTCAGCTGGGCTGAGTCAGGCCCATATGAAGGAGTTTGTGTTTCTGGGTGGAAATGAACTCAGATTTAAATTCCTGAAACCCTAAACTGCCGGCTGGGGCTTAACCCTTTGGGTGCACCCGTTGGTGCTGCAGGATGCTCCTCACCCCACTCCCTGCAGGGAGTTGGAGCAGCCCTTGGTTCTGCTTGGTGCCCTGTTGACGGTGGCACCTCTGGCACCGTCCCTTCTGCTGGTTGTTGCTGATGCTCAGCGGGCCCAGAGCCATCACGTGCTGTCACGCTGCCTTTCCTAAAATCTCGTGGGGATAAGCCTGAGCTGAGCTGGGCCTGGCACTGTGGTGGGGCGAGCTGGCGGGCAGGATGGGGCAGGGGGCACAGCCGTGGGGTCATTCCCAGCTCAGAGCTGCAGGTGGTGCTTAGGGCTTGTAGGGTGCTGCAGGTTTGAGGTCTGGCTCAGCACCCCACCCCTGCCATGCTGTGCACCCTTGGTGGGCAATGCCCGGACACACTGTCTGCATAACACCAAGATTTGGGGCACACGAGGGCGGCCGAGGGGCAGCGAGCAAACCCTGCAGGTGCCTTTAGACCAGGCAGTGGTGTGGGACTGCTGGAGCAGTCCCGCTGCGAAGGATGACCTGGGCACCTTTCACCCAGCTGGTGGCATCAACCTCCCTGCGGTGGCCTCGGTTTCCCTTGCTGGAAGAGCCACCCTCATTGTCCTCCCCAGCCGCCAGGAAGAACCGAAGCAGCCTGAGCAGGGGATGCACGGGGCAGGGCGGAGGCAGGGGGCCAGCGTGGGAAAGTTGGCGCTTGGGTGACTTTCTCCTGGGCAGCACATGCACCGTGGGGCTGCCCGTCCTCCCCAGCTCCCCTCCCGCTGGCCAGGTGCCGGTAGGACGCTGGCAGCTCCGTTACCCACCTCGGACGCTGCTCCCCAGCGCGCTGGGCAGGGCTGGGGGTGCCGCGGAGTTGTCCCGGGGGGCAGTGCCCCAGCGCCTTGCACCGGCACCTCTGCCTGCGCCCAGGAGCTGGAGGGTGGGTGAGGAGGGGCCCTTTTGGTTTTGCTGCCTTTATCTGGGTGGAAATCAGCTTCTGCCCGTTCTTGCCTCCCCGAGGTGTGAGCTGACCAGGCTGGTGGCACTGTCTGCCAGTCCCTGTCAGTGGCACCGGTTGTGGGGCTGCTGGGAGCCTGTGCTCCCTCAGCAACCCGCCCACACTCACTAATCATTTACTGGCTAAATTAGTGATTAACTCCTTCCCCTGCAGCTTTGGCAAGCCTGGCCGGGCCAGCACATGCTGCTCACAGGTCCCTTGCCAGCGGGCTGGCCTATGGGCCGTTGCCACCATGGCACAGACCATCACCACCAGGGCACAGAGGGACCTTCACTGGGGCAGGGACACCCAGCAAAGGGACGTGATGGCATGGCCCCCCCGGCTGTCTGCTCCTCCACTGTTCTGCAGACACATCCCCGTGCTGTCACCCCCTTGCTGAGCTGGCAGCAGGGGGACACGGGATGCTTGTGGGGTGGCAGGGGGAGCTGGGGCTTTCCTGCGGCCCCACTGAGTCAGGCTGTCCGGCGAGGGCTGGGGAAATGAGCCAGGCGAGGTTTCATCACAAGTGGGGGGGCCATGGCTCAGCCAGCCCAGGGGCTCTGCTTCAATGAGCTTGTTTGTCCTTTTTTTTTTTTTTTTCCTTTTTTTTTTCTGGGCCAGAGTGGGGGAAAATTCCATGCCTCCCGTGAGGCATCCCTGTGGCATCCCACAAGGGCTTGGGCACCCTGCTCCCAGCTGCTGCTCCTGCTCCCACTCACCCCAGCTGCATAAACCCAGGGGGGTTCTAGGGAAGGTTGGGAGTTTCAAAGGCACCCTCACCCCCCCAGTATATTTAAGTAGCAGTGGAGGGATGACATGGTCTCTGGAGGGCGTGTCTGGCGGGAGGGATGTGGGGCTTTGGGCTTGCAAAACGGGATGTGGGCTAAAGGGAGGTTGCGAATGACTGTTCCTGCTCGGATTTGTCAGGCGCTGGTCTCCAGCCTCCCTGGGGTGTGTGTGTGTGTGCACACGCATGTGTGTGTGTCTGTGTGTGCGTGGGCAAGTGCGTGTGCATAGGGGGGTGTATAAATGTGCATGGGGGGGTGTATGTGTGTGTGTGTGCACGTATATCTGTGCATGTATGGGGATGGGTGTGTGCGTGTTTGTGCGTAGGTATGTGTGCTGCTCCGGTCAGGAGCCCCTCAGCCGCCATGCACCGCGTGCCTGCCATCCCCACACCACCCGTGGGGTGCGTTTGGGAGAGCCCTGTGCCCTGGCTGTGGCCGGGGTGCTCTCCCAGCCATGAACACTTGCTGCCGCCCTGCTCAGCGCTGGGGGATCCACTCCTTGTCCCTCGGGGGGGCTGTGAGTGTGGTGGCCGTGCCCTGGGGGCCAGCTCTGCGTCCCCAGAGGCCTGGCTGCCAGGACCTTGGCCTGGCTATCACTGGGGTGTAGAGGAGTGAGAACTATTTTGGGTGCAGAGGAGCCATCCACCCTTCCCTACTTTTTCCCCCTTAAGCTTTAACCCTTTGCTGCCCACCCAAGATCCTGCCACATCAGGAAAGGGGAAAGATACCTCCAACCTCAGGTTATTTGGTATCTTTGAAGGGGCATGTGGGGATGCTCATCCAAAGAGCAGCTTTGCTGAGCACCCCCGGTGGGCCCTGCTCGTCGGCGTGCGTCTCAGCCCAGTGCTGGGGGAGGCTGAGCTGGTCCCCAGCCCTGTTGAGCCACCTGGGCTGAGCCATGTCCCTGCAGGACTTTGTCCCACCTGGGATGTGCTGTGGTGCTGTGGCAGTCCTGATCCTGCAGGTAACGCCGTAGGTCATGGGTGCATCCTATTGTCCATCCTCGGTGAGTGAGAAGGGCACTGCTGTTGGGTGGGAGCCAAGCAAACTGTGCAGCAAAACCTGTGCAGGATCTGACCTCCCTGCTGCCAGATTTGCTGACTCTGCTGGCCGTGGCCTGAGCTATTTAAAGCGTCACTCTCATTTTCACATGATTTTGAGGGTGATGGGGAAAACGAGCTCTGGCCATGCACTCGTGCTGTCAGGGCTGTCTGCATGCCAGGGGCTGCCAGGATGATGTTCCTGGAGCGTTGCTTCCTCTGCCACAGTGAAATGAACTGCAGGCAGCAAATACAGGCAGCTGGAGGGAAGGATATGGTCAAGCTGTCCATGCTGTTCTCCAAGCAGTAAGGTCTCTGGGCTAGACCTGGAGCTCATGGCTCGTTTTTTCCCCTTGGCTTTGCTCTAAGAGGTGCCAGAGCTGGGGCTCATATGGGAGGTCAGGATAAGAGCTGGCTTCTGCCTTAGGATGTGGATGTGTGGGGCTGCTGATGGTGCTGGAGATGCTTCCAGGGGCAAGACCTAGCCAGTCCAGGCTGCTGGACCAGCTTGGGCAGCTTTCCACAGCTTTTGGAATCCTTCTGAGGGTGAAATTCACCTCCTGCCCTGGTTCAAAGGGACTAAAACTGGACCAGGGCTGCTCTGGCCGAGCTGTGACCTCTCAATGCACAAGGGCTGCACATGCCTTTGGGTCTGCAACCTGCAAGGCTGGAGGCACGGGCTGCTCTGGTGCTGTTGCCTTCCTGCCAGGCCCGTGCCGTTGTGCTGGTGCTGCTTTGGTCTCGGTGACGGGTGCGGTGGCATGACCGGTTGGGGGCGTGG